TGTTTTGTTTTCACAGTACAAATAAAGATTACAAAATTCAAGTCAGTGTCACTTAAAATTACTAGTAAAAGCTGCTTAATCAAGAATGTTTTGAACTTACAAAATTTAGTAAGTGTTACCTCTATTTTCGATGTAATCTGTTGCAACAATTTTTAGTGAGTTAAATTAACTCGCAAGGTTTTACAGTGATACGTCGATATTTGTAATTTTCCAGCTGTTATACAAATGTTGCTGTGCTTCAGTCTTTCTGAAAAGCTAAAACATGACACTGGGGTTTTCTGTCTGTATTCTAAAACAAGAACCTACAGCTGAAGTTTACAGCACAATTGAATCACCTCCTCCTTTTAAGTTAACTACAACTCTCATAAGACTGTGTGCTAAGGTGTGTGTTGTTGCTCATTTCTGACTAAATAATAAGAATATTAACATGAAGTGAATTATTAATCTGAAAGAGAACATTATAACTGAACTGAACCCTCACACATACTTTTCCACGTGTAGATGCTTAATGAAAATTCATTCGTCTCACAGTAACCTGATGATCAGCCCAAAGAATGAAGCTGTCAGGGTAAAGCTGGTCATCAGACTCCATCTAGTGGTCTGAACTGCACACAGCACAACTTTGCAGGAGCAACTAAATCTCAGTCACTAAAGCAGAGGTTTTCCAGATGTTTAGCAGTGGAATGTACATGTACTCTGTACCATTGTACTTAAGTACAACTTTGAGGTACTTGTTCTTTACTTGATTTTTTTATTTTATGCTACTTTATACTTCAACTTCACTACACTTTTTTATTATTTATGTTTATTGTATTTTTGCTCCAGTTTGTTTATTTGACAGCTGTAGTTGCTTAAGAGAACAATCTTGTGATCAGGGAATGATGCATTGTTATAGATTAAACAGGCCGGTGGCAGATGACTTTGTTAAATGGTGGGATGGGGCCTTTCTGAAATAAGACCCCTTGTCTTATTTCAGAAGGAAATCATCCCATCCACCATCTCAGACCTTCCTGAAAGGAACTGGCATTGAATTTAATAATAAAGATAATAACTTGAAATTTGATATAAATTCTGATGCAGTCTATAAAAAGGGACAGCAACATTTACTTCCTTATAAGAAGTTAATTCCTTTAATGTGCACAGGGAAATGACGTCCTTGTCTTTATTGAATCTGTTCTCATTTGTTCTGTGATTGCTTGGTACAGTAACCTGAACATAAGGGATAAAAGACACCTGAGCCACATGGGAAGGTTATAAGTGTCCCACAGACCCCACTGAAGGCTATTTGTGATCAGCAGGTTCTCCAAAAGATACCAAGGATCAAGTGCAAAGGGACTAAAAACTCTCAACTTTGTTCCATGTGCAATTATGCTGCTTAATTTGCACGTCATTTTAGCATTGTTGTTGTATTATGGTGTAATGTGTATTGTATGTATGGGAATCATTTTTGTACGTTTGTTTTTGTCTGTACTTGTGTTGCTGTTGACTGACCCATCTGGGATAATACAGTGACTGAACTGAATTGAACAGTACTGAGAAGCAGATAAAACTAGCCCCACTGTAACCACATTTAACTATCACTGGTATGTTACTATGTCAATGACAATGATCCAATAATACAAAATTACACAGACAGGGGCCATTCTGCATAGTGACTACTTTTCCTACTTGAGTGCATTTTGTTTCTTATACTTCTGTAATTTTACTTAAGTGAAATTTTGACTTTACTTTTAATGGAATATTTTAGCGTGCGCTACTTACAGTAATACTTATGGAAGCCCATTTCCGCTAATGTGACGGGGGAAAAAAGGATTCTGTCAATATAATGAGAAACTTTCTCAAAATGTTGTCTTAGTATCTCAAAATACTACGCTTCTCAATATTTTGAATTAGTATCTCAAAATACTGTGTTAATAATAGTGATGTCAGTTAGTTTAGGTTTAGAACAGAGCCGTGGAACATTAAATCATCCATCTTTGCTTACCACATCTCAGCCTTTCTTACCTCAGGTGTGCATAAACTACAGGTTACAAACTTATTTTTAAAATAAAACACTTTGAAATGATCAGTTATCTTATCAGTATCGGCCATGAGTAGGAGGTAGTATAATGGTGAAAAAAATCCAATTTGTGCATCCCGAGATATAACTCCAGAGATGGTTGTTATTTTGCAGTTTACACAGGAATGATGTCAAATGTTACTCAGAGGGGCTTTTATAACCATTCATTCGCCATTTCTCTGTTAATGACTTTTCATTTGATCCTGACTTGTAAAGCACTTTATAAAGTCTGATTCAGTATGAGCTGTATAGATTAATCATTGATCATCCTTCTGGTAGATACACGTGACGAGATAGCGGTACCAGTGCTACAGCCGTGCATAATGACAGCGGCTCTTTTCTTCACTGTAGCTTTAGTCTCACTAACCAGCTAATGATTGATGTAAATTAGCTAATTATCTTGCATTTTCCTTACTTTAGCTAACTTCAGATGTGACTATAAATTCACATCACTTTGATATTTTAACCATCTTCATAATGTGGTTGTCTTTTCAACACAAACTAGCCTAGCACATAGCATAATGAATGTACAGGAAAAGGAGAAAGCTGAGGTCAATTAGATTCTAGTGTAATCCGTCTACAGGCAAGTATACAATTCAACAGACCATATATATGGAGCATAACATTTTCCAATAATAAATTAATAAGGGATGAAAGTTTTTCTTTGACTTAAAAGGAGCAGAAATTAGACGAAATTCCAATTATTCCAATAATTAGAATCCCACTGCATACTTCCTTCCAGGAAAAGACTGAGCCTCATAATAAACAATTACCAAATGTAAAAACTCCCAGTGGCAAACCCTTGTGCTGCTGTTCCAGTCTGCCTCCAGTATGTAGTGAACGAACTACAGTGTCTGTTCAGTATCTTTCTTTGTGACATGCCTCACAGCTCTGTTCAGTAGATTGTTGTTATAGTGTCTTATCTCTACTGCTCAAGATTGTAGTTTATCTTTCTGCTGCTCTGATTATGTAAGACATGTGCCAGTAAAATGTGAGAAGAAATGACATCATGTACAAAAGCTTTTTGGGCAAGACTTGGGTTGGAGTTTTATTTTACCCAATGGAAAATCAAATCCTTTCTAATCCAGTGTCTAAAATTAACTTTTTGACTCACCAGCCAAGGGGACTGCTAGATTAAAAAATACAGGCCAAGCATATTTTTCTATATTTTACCGGCCAATAGAATACATTGCCTTATTGTATCACATATACATTGCCCAGCATGGAGCCGGCCAGCATGTAAACCATGTTAAAAAAAATCAGGTTCCTCTGGCTCCTCCTAGTGCTCCTGATGGTATTTGCAAGAATCTACAGGGCCTGAATGAAAACAATCATTATAGAAATGTTGTCGATTTAGTCTCATTATCAGGGCGTCAAAAACAGACGCTTTGGGATTCCGGGAATCAGACTCGACAATCAACTATCTTCAAGTCTCCAACCCAAAGAATCTTTCTCAGCTCTGATTGGTTGTTTTCATCCAGGCCCAGTGGATTCTTGCAAATGCCATAGATTAGAGCAGTTCATTTGGGTACTTTGGTCTTGCGTCAAGCCACCAGGTAGTCATGATGTTATGCCCGATTGGTGTATATGGAACACTGAATTCATTAATGAATGGCAATATTAATTGTAGCTGCACTAATTGTATAGTAGCAGCTTTCGAAGAGGTACAACAGTAAAACTGCAATAACAAAAATAAAACAAGAACAATCCAGAAAATGTTGCCGTTATCTGTGGCAGCAGTGGTATCAGTAGCATTAGATATTCCTGAGTCTTTGCTGCAGCGGTCATGGGTTCAGGTCTGGCCTGTGGCCCTTTGCCATCCCCTTTCCTATCTATCGTATGTTGTCCTGTCAGAAGAGGGCAGACGTCTCTATGGCCGATATCTTGTTTTGAAAACGCTGTTTCCATCTCGTAGACCTACCAATCTAAAATGTTCCCCGTAGATCCTCAAAAGGTTCTCTAAGGTGAGGAGAAGAGACTCTCTCTCATCACTGGGAGGGCTGAGGCAGCTGCAGTTTGAAGCTGTGTAATTCTGTAAGATATTTCACATCATGGTTCCGACACCTGCTAGAGCCTGCTGGATGGGTATAAACACCGGGACGTGCAGCTTACCCTGTATATCAGTCTTCATAGTCAAAGATATTTTTATAAAAGTGACCTACTGCAGCTATAATTAGGGCTGTATAAGATTGGTTGGTTGGACGACGGGGCCTTAAAAAATTTGATTTTTCTGGCTCGTAGCACTCCTAATGACATTTGCAAGAATCCACCGGGCCTGAATGAAAACAAGTTGGAACTAATGATTTATTCATGTTAATGTATAATCATTAATTAATGGTTCATAGTGTAGTCATCATAAGCTATTAACAAGGATAACTTCTGGCAACCCAACAAGATTCACCACCTAACAGTGGTGGACACATAATAGTGAAAGCTATTAGCCACAGTATTATGATCATGTGCTGTTATTTATACGGCAAACAGAATCCACTGCTGTCCTGTTCCTGTTGTTTTATATGTTACATACAGTATGCAGAAGAAGTTAAGGTTTTTGTGTATAATTCATAATAAATCATATACATACATACATACAGCTCATGGTCTTCATCGTGTCCTCTTTGACCCCTTTTCGGTGGACTTCAGACAGCTGATCATTAGGTCAAAGCACCAGAAAAAGGTAGAGTTCTCTACTCGAGATGACTTAACCTTACTTTGTGTTATTTATGACAGAATTTTGTGATTTATTTAAATTTCTCTGTGATTATGTGCAGGACTTTGTATTGCAAAGTTGCATATTAGAAAATGATCTATATCAGTTGAACCTTTACGCTTCCTGCAAAGACATTTAAAATGTGTAATTTGTTGTAGATGTCAGCAAATGTCTCTTTTAACCCATGCTGAATCCTTCTTTAAGTTTAAATTTAAAAAGGACAGAACTCAGTTTGCTTGAGATATTTATTTACACATTTGACTAGTGGCCATTATATGAAAAGAACAAACATTTTTACAGTTTATTTACATCACCTGTAAGGCATTATGAAAAAAACTGTACACTGAAATTTGACAAGAAAACAAGAAAACACACATAAAACAAAAAACAAATCTAAATGAATTTACATTAAAGTAAAAAATACAACTTAATCAATGTGGGAACTTAAATATAATGAATACATGGAACATATGGGGGGATATCACATTAATCTCGTCCTCCCTCTGCAGCTGTCTGAGTAGTTCATCAATAATCTGGAGTGAGTCAATGTATCTCCTGCCTAAACCCAAGACCATATTGCACTTTTATATCCAAACTGAGGAGTCTAACAGAGTGAACGAGTACAGACACACAGATAATATCCTCTTTCAGCTTCAACACATCTGTGTGTCTATTTGGGGTTACACATCTTCTTACTTCTCAACGTTAAATATGCATCGACAGCAGCTGATGTTTACCATCATTACCGCCCATCAATACAGTCTGAAAACATCAAAATGTTTTTTCCTTGCATGTTTAAAGCTGCAGTAGGTAACTTTCGGCTAACACTCAGCTCAGATTGGTTGTTTTCATTCAGGCCTGGTGGATTCTTGCAGATGCCATTAGGAGCACTAGGAGGAGTCAGAGGAACCTGACTGTTTCACAGATTATCTGTCTCGTGTACTACTGTCAGGATATAGTGAAAGTTTCAGCAAATATGACAAAAATCTATTTTTATAAAACTTACCTACTGCAGCTTTAATTCATAATTTGCTGTAACACTATAATAATTGAATTTGATTTGACTTTGTTTTTCGTTAAGCATTATGGTAAAAACTGTTTTGCACAAACAGAATATTTGCAATTAACTGACGTGACAACAAATAGTGTATTGTGTACATAATACTGGAACAAACCCATAACAATCTACAGGCTCAATTTAAAAATATCTGTCATATAAAAAAAGGCCTTGTTGCTATTAAAACATGCAGGTGTTTCACCCACAACTTTACACGTTCCAAACAGAGACAAAACCAATTTAAAATCAGAAATTGTTTGTTATTAAAATTCAGAGTTACTTGTTAAATTCAATGTTGTCAACATGAGGATTTTTGGGTGGCAAATAGATATTGCTATCTAAGAACCATGTAACTCCAACTTTGTCCATTTCCATTCTCAATTTAAGGAAACCTTCTCAGGATCCATCAACAGTCCATCAGGCTGTAACAGACCAGGCTGTTGACAGTTTGGAGATAAAAGGTTATTACCCCTCTAGAATAAAATACGCTCTTCATTTACTTCACTGTAAACTTGTGTTGCCCCAAACTCACAGATGTGTTGAGAATAGGGATTCAGAAAGTGTTTTCATACAAAAATGAACCACACGTTGGTCACATTAGTCCATCTGATTTGTGTTTGGAGTTTTGTTATTGAAGTTAAAAAAAGATTTAAGATGGAACCCTGGCAATGAAACCTGTTAATTAACTATTACCTGCAAACTGATGTTAGTAATAATGAGAAATCACCTTAATGGAAAAAGATTTGTTTCTCTGCATTATTGCAAGTTCATTATTGAGCATCTTGTAATTAGTGTACCTGCAAAAACAAAAAATGTTCACAAAGTGCTAATTTCTTTCATCTTGCCTTCTATGATTCATTATGAAAGGAACTGAAGTGTGTAGACCAACTGGAGGTGTTCTGAAAGTTTGCAGAATGTGGTAGTTATTATCTATCAGCAATAACCTCAGTCGCCCTGAGAAGCTGAATAGAGCAGATAGTGCAGTTTCTAACTGAGGAACCAGTGTAGGCCTCTTGTTCAATTGTCCGTAGACTTGAAGAACATGCGTTGGCTGATGCATGTTTTTATTATGTGACTTTAGAGTTAATGGGACTGTAACTGTATGAAACCATGCTGCTTGGAACGGCTGTAATCGCTGACTCCATCTGGGGAAAATGTATTTATAACCTGAATTAATTCCCAGTCTCTATCTTTATTGCCAAGTGCTCCATTAACACTTTAGTCAACTTCCTCAGTTAACTTCCTAAATGGCTGAGACAGATAACATTTTACATTTAGTGTAAAATAATATTTTTAGTTAAGTATCACCTCCACTGAATCTACAGCACTTCTACAATGAACACAGCGTTTGGCAGTTCATACAAACACCTACAATACAGTTGGATGGTGAGTTTGTCCCCCTAAAACAACACTAACTCGTTTGTCATCTTGCACTCTTGCATACTGGCTTCTGGTCGGTTCATGTGCAACAAACCCCTACTTATGGAGTCATTTGGTGTGTAACACTGGTAAGATGCAGAAAAAATCACCAGAGAAGAAGCAACCTGGAGGAAAAGGTCTAACTGTCTCTCCTCGATCATTCTGACGCTCGACACCTCTCGCTGCCTTTGCTCAAACTCTTCTCAAAGTATTTCCATTTTATGGCTCTACACAACAGCAGCAACAGCAATCGCTGTCCTGTTGCTCTTTCTCTGTTTGAGCTTTCACCTTGTGTCTCCCCTTGTGTCTCTTGTTTCTTTCTACCACCTCCTCTTCCTCTCTCTTCCTCCAGGGTTGCCTGCTGTCTACAGTGAATTTTCTGCTTTAACACTACAAAGCGGCTGTTGGTCCACATTTATAAGGCCCGCGCATCTGCTGGTGGGTAAGTGGAAAGTATCATTAGTTGTGTGTGTGTGTGTGTGTGTGTGTGTGTGTGTGTGTTATCGAGAGGTAGGGATGAAATGGAGGTGAAGGTTACATTTATAGTGTGTGTAAATCAAAGGAGTGTTAAAACACAAAGTGACAGAGACAGAGGTGACGTAAAGCACTTCAACAGGCCACAACAGGCCCTGACAGGGCGACGTACTGTGTCTACTGGATTATAATCCAGATTGAGATCACTCATACAGGGAATCACTCTGGGCTTCAAGCACAGGCTGATCTTTGTTGCTTTCAATGACAACATCTGTGTGCACGATAGAAGCATCCTTTGTTCATTCGGAGTGCTGGATGTGTGCGTGCTTAGGAGTTAATGCGACTTATCTGCATAAAACTTATTATTTTCATTATCATTACATTTGGCAGTTTTCTCAATTAATGGAACACGTTTTCTGTAAATCAACAAATTGTTTCAGCTCTAAAGACAATTAATCTGCAATTATTCTGAAAATGAATTCATTGTTTTTAAGCAAAAATGTTCTGTTTCCAACCTCTCAAATGGGAATATTTACTGTTTTTTAGACTTCTATGACAGTAAACTAAACATCTTTGGGCTTTGGACTGTTTGTTGGTGCTTTGGGAAATTGTCAGACATTTTTCATAACTTTCCTGACATTTTTAGAGCAAACAATCAGCAGATGAATCGATAACGACAATAATCGTAATTCGCAGCCTTAATTGTTTTCACTATAAAAATGTCAGAAAATATTTTTATAAATGTCCCAGAACCCAGCATGATGTCTGGACATGTTCTATCCATCCAGCAGTGTAAAATCAAAAATCAAGTCAATTTACAATAATATAATATAAACAGAAGCAGAAAAACATTTAAGAAGCTGGATTCAGAGAATGTTTGCATAATTATTAAAAATAACTGTTAGTCAATTAATTTTTTCATTGGCTAATTGCTTTAACTTGAGTTCAATTTGCAGTTACGCCAATAAACAGTGGGGGCAGCATATTGGGATGTGAAAAAAAGTCAGCAGACTGTCAACAGAACATAACAACAGAGGAAACATGGGAGGAGTTACCTTTAGTCACAATCTGAAGTTCTAGAGGAAGATATTCTGGTGTTAGAATCAAGTACATAAGCAATCTCCCAGGGGAAAAATACTAAACCTTTTACTTCCTCATATGGAAATGCTGTGTGTACGAGAGCTGTTCAGAGATTTCAATTTCAGTCTATTGCTGAAGTTTCTTTTTGCATTTTCACAGACGATGAAACGAGCGAGAAGAATGCAAAGAATAAAAAGCTTCATTCTCAAGCAGAAACTAGTAAAAGCTGAAAGCCAAGCCAGTAGTGTTGCTGCGTTCTGCGTGATGCCTATGTGTTACTATCTAATCTACCCTACGGGAAACCATGGCGGTCTAGTTTAATTCCCTCTAACCACTGACGGACAACAATGAGTCACTTAATGCCCCGTTAAATTAGTTTGAAAGTATCTTGCACCTCTGGCAGCCAGGGTTCATGATGTAGCTTCAGTGCTGCATTTCTAAAGTGCTCTGAGGGTAAATCTGGATCTCTGAAACACTGATTAAGAACTGCAATGGTCCAACACTTCTACATTTGGCTCAGTAAAGATTTGTACGGAGAATTTTGACCATTTGGATATAAATCCACATTTCATGAATTCATGTTGACGAGTCGCTAACTGTGGTAAACGGGATACAGACCAGATGTTTTACTTTTTACTCTAAATCATCTGAAAATAATCTGTCCGGTTAAACACCAGCAGTGACGGTGAACTTCTATATTCACCGTCACATTTTTGTATTCAGGATTTCAGGACATTTTGAAATTATTTAATACATGTAGGAAAGACTTCTTGAGCCCAGCGGACCGTTTAATAATTAATTTCCTATAAAGCATAAAAATCACAAAATAATTACTCACAGTCTGCATGAACTTATTTAGGATCACTAATGAGATGTGTATTATTATTTTAGTCCTACGTAATGATTAGAAAGACTACAATGTACAAAATTATTATGTCCGCGCCTTTTTCCCCTTGAGTTTTGCTTCCAAACGTCCCATTGTTTGTTTGTTCTTTTGTCTAGATGTAAAAATATGATAAGCTAGGAGGGGAGGCTGATTTCTCAGCTACAACCAGGGATATTAGCATCAGCCATGCTACTACAGATTCCCACCAGTTTTAGATCCAGAGGCCTGGTTCAAGCTAAAAATGCAGCAAATGAATAATAGTGTGAAGTCAAAACCACAAGGACCCTACATTAACGTTTAAACCACAGAGGTCTTTTTTTTTTTTTTAAGCCTTTAGAAAATCATTAGCACCGAAAATTAGAATTTGAGTCTTTGAGAATTACACAGGGCATAATGCTCAGTGTTAGTGTAGTGGTGTTTGTGTCCCAACATGGACTTTGGGCTTTCCCTCCCAGCTGGCCTGGGGATATAACACATAATGTTATCTGAAAGTCAGTTTGAATTTTCCAGGTTTGGTCGGCTGGTACAATAGTGACACTGCTGCAGAAACAACCAGTCGCTTCTCCACAAGTGTAATCTGTCTGGTGAAATACTGACAATGGCTGTTGGAGTTTAGAAAGTAACCAACCGCTCTGGTTTCCCGTTCTGGTTCCAACACAGATTTCGGGAAACGCCGGAGCCGCTTCTTCCTTCTCCTGCACGTCTCGTCTCATCTCAGCTCAGCTCGTGTTTGTTTGAGGCTCGTTCAGCCACTAACGTCAGCTCCCACCTTCCTGGCTGGCTCGTGCTCACTTCAAGCTCCGTAGCTAAGCCTCTGGAGGGAGAGCTTCGGGCTACGTAGCTTCAAGCTTCACAGCTAGCCTCCGTTGTTAGCTTAAGTGCTGACGTGGCGAGCTAGCGTTTACCTCCGACGGTCATGACGTTCGCGGCTGAGTTCAAGTTTGAAGAATGTTGGCATTAGCGTCAAGGTTAGCTAGTGTTAGCTTCTCAAAGCCGGGCTGTTGTTTTTGTCCACCTCTTTATTTCCATCCTTCATCAATGCAGAAAACACCTGAGAGAAAACACAGAACGTTTTTGGTTTATTGTGATTCAGAATCTGAGACACTCACTTTGCCCTGGACTCTGAAGGCGGTGCTGACCTGAGCCCAGCGGCGGTTTCTGCTGATCATGTGCGTGTTGGCCATGGCGGTGAAGAGTGTGTGTGACTGCAGGTCCTCCGGCAGGCGGGTTAGGAACTGAGCGATGTGGATGAAGTCCATCTGGAGCAGGACATCCTCGAACAGACGCAGGATACCCAGTCCCGTCCGAAACAAGCTCTCTTCTCCGTCCCGGCAGAAGACGTCCCACACCCGACACGCCACGTCCAGAGGGAGGGACTTACTGTACAGAGTGAAGATCCTGGACAGAGACACACAAAAACATACTTATATGGAACTCTCATTCGAGGTAAGTAAGTTTAGGTCTCAGTGCATTTACAGACTAGAATATAATAACATTGTGAAATATAGAACACAAAAATAAAATCAGGGTTACTGCAGGTTTTAGTATATTAAATTTAAGACCATTACGAATGCATTATTTTACGTCCATACTTGGCAAAAAAAATAGAATACCAATAACCAATAAAAATGGTAATAACTCACCAGTCGATGAGATAGAGGTCGGGGGTCAGGTTGTTGGTTTGGAAGTGGCTGAAGAGACGAGGCAGATTCTCCTCAAAGAAAACCTCAAAGGCTGCAAAATACTTCAACATCTGACACAGACAGAGAGAGGAGATGAAGGACGAGGCTCTGAAGTGAACAAACTGAGTAACCAGAATAACAGTTTTGTGTCTGTGTGTGTGTCTGTGTGTACCAGCTCGTGGTCGACTCTGAAGAAGGCCATCTGACAGGGTTTATTGAGCAGGTTGGCGAAGGTGATGAAGGCTTCGGCCTCCTCCAGGTTAAGGATGAGCACAGCAGCGATGAATGACATGCCCTGGACCTGAAACGCCACACAAACCAACCCCAGATCAGCGTGAAACATGGACTGTGTGTGTGGATTAATGTGTGTTTCTGTAGCAAGGATGATGAATTTAACCGATAACATTCTGTTTTAAATTACTGAGCCGATCCCTAGTAGAGATTTTCAAACATTTGAAACTGAGTTCTATTGTATATTTCACCTGAGTAAAACCCAAATACGGAGTATATTAATGATGGCATACAACTGTCACATGCTGCTTTTGAGTTGGTCCTTTCAGATTTAACAAAACACATGTATTTTCAAGGAAGTAATTTTAAGTCTCTTCAGTCAATTTGCCTTATGTTTCTTCCTCACTATCTAGAATAACCAAAAATAACAACCAGTGTGGGTTCTAACTGAGAGTCAAAGCTCTTAGAGATGTATTGTGACCATTTCAACATGCTGCATTAAATATAACTCGGGATCATTGACAGTATAGAACTGGACAAAGATTCAAGGTCTGTGAAGAGAAGCCAATGCAGAAGAGTTTTAAACATGCATTCTACGCAATGGCCAGCAGGGGGCAGCTCCATCGGCTGCAACAAACATCTGAAAGAATAAGCACTGAGTCTTATGGAGAAATGACCCTACTTCTCTAATGAGTTTATGGTCTCAATCTCTAGTTTCAGTCTTCCATACAGTATGATATTCATTTAGTAAATGATGGTCCTATTTAGAGTAAAATAGACCATAAAGCAGGGTATGCTTTAGGGCGGGGCTGCCTCATTCCAGCTCAATGCACCAAACTCAGATTAAACTGGCAATGCTGATCAGATATGAAGCAAAATTCTGTTACTGCGTTCACTATTTCTCTCCTCAAATCTGTTCACAAACATATTTCAGTGTACTGTAGCTGTAACGAGATTGTGTGTGAGCAGGCGAGCCGCCATTGTTTCCTGCTACGGATGGGTCGAAACTTACTTAAACTACTAACTTATTTCGTTTCTGTTTTTTGATTTGATTTTTGGCTTCTTTTGTTAATGAAAAATGTGTTTTGTTGACAACAATTTGAAAATAATATCATTTTGCGCAGGTCTATCTCAACTGGTATTTAAACAATACCCAGGCCTAAATGCTGGACACCAAATGTCTCAATGTAAAGACAATCAAATCGTCAGTAATTTCAATTCTGTCTGTAAACAGCTGAACATCGACTATTAGTGTTGATGGTGGAAGAAACAGTAAACTCACGTAGCCAATGTCTGGTCTGTAACATGTGTAAGCCCCCAGTACACTGTGGAGGAGGTCGTGGTAGGGACCGCCCTGCAGACAGAAAAGAGAGAGTTGAGATGAATAGATAGATGGAGGAGGAAGAGAAGAATAAATGAAGGACTAACTCACTCAAAGTAAGACTTTTCTGCAGCTTTCAACAGGTAAAATTTGATACCTTCCATTAGTGCCGGGCTTTTCTCTTATGAAATTCTAAAACTACCTGGTTCTCCCAATGGTAGAAATACAAGAGCACACACACTCCTTCCTTCTGTTACCTTCTGGAAGATGAAGAGAGAGGGAAAGGTTCTAGAAATGTCCAGTTTGATGAGGTCCAGACTGGACTCTCTGTCAGCCAGAGACGCCCCTTCTAACAGAGAAACACAGAGGACAAAAGATTCAACGTGTTATTTCAGTCTAGACAGCTGTTTTCAGTTGTTAGCCAGTAGAGGCTCATCTCAGACCTGAATATTCACGGCTAAAAGTTTTTAATATGACATCTATATAAGTGATTTGTTTGAGTTTTACCACTCTCACTGTCGTTGACTGAACTAGTTTCGCTGTAACTCCTCCACTTCTCTTTGGCTCGGGACAGGAAGATCTCATACAGCTCTGCATAAAGAGGAAAAACACACAAAGATTCTAAGTGTTAACTCCATATATCAGGTTTAACATGTCCAGTGTGTTAGATTTAGTGGAATCTAGTGGTGTAGTTGTAAGTTGAATTTTAGATTTTTATATTTAAAGCATATGTCTGGATCTATAGTTTTCTTTTGTCAACAAATCCTATGAAAAGACTGAACCAAGAACGTTTTAGTCTCTCTCAAAACTTTCTGACGTCCTGTTTGTGGCTCTCAGCTCCAAGCCAATTGGGTCCTACTGAAGAAGCTTACTAAAACAGCTGCTCATTGTAGATTTTAAAACAAATGTTAAGTAAACAGGAGGAAATAACATGCATCAGGCACTATTTTCAGTGGCGGATTAATCCACATTTAGTGCTCTAGTGAGTATTTGGGGCAGTAGGATGGTGTGTGTGTGTAATGGTAACGATGAAACGTGTTACCCAGTGCAACATTGTGGCAATGGAGCTCTATGGCACAGGGGAAGAAGTATTTACATTGTTGGTTGGAGTATGCATTTGTTGAAAGGAAGAAACATTTCGCACAGCAGCAAATACATTTAACGTGTGTATCTGTTTGTACCTGGTGTGATGTTGAGCTCGTTGCCGATGGCGAGGCTCCACACCCTTCCTCTGACACTGGGAGGAAGTCCCTGCCACCAGAGTTCCCTGACCCGCCTCGTTCCCTTCCTGCACACACACAGACACAGGCACAATGAGTTAAATAAACATGCTGCACAAACAAGCTTGCACACTGCATGTACGGCATACACACAAAGAGCTGTGGTTACGTACATGGTGTCCCAGTGTGGCAGGATCTCGGAGTTCCAGATGACCATGGCGTTGGAGATGCTGTCCTCCTGTCTGTGTCTCTCCTTCATCTGACGCTTCTTCCTCTGGGCTTCCTTCATCTCTGAGGGAGGGAGAGAGAGGTAGAGATCTATCTTTAGTCTTCTTGATGACTAACTTTGTCCCTGCTGGCCACTGTATATCCGTCTGAGCCAATCAAGTCAAAGCAGGAAAATGGCTGGGCATCAAACAGTGTGAAATATGTTTCCACCAGTAAAAAATGTTCTTGCCAAAAAAAATCTCTGCTGGCTTTTGAGACCAGTGAGGTCAAGAGGTCATTTTACAAAGTGGTAACAATTAGCTCTTGAGATTTTCTGTGTGTGTGTGTGTGTGTGTGTGTGTGTGTATACCTCTCCTCTTGGCTCCTGCCACCATCTCCTCGTACTCCATTTTGTGTCTCTGGGTTTCCTCCAGAGACTTGGCGGGTAGGTTCCTGAAGAACAGTGACACAGTCAGTCAGTCAGTCAGTCAGTCAGTCAGACAGACAGGCAGTCAGTTTGTGCTGTTCTTCCTGTCAGGTATTCGGCCACACACAGTGACTCTGTGTGAGACAGTGATTGCTCTCGCCAGATGCTCACTGTTGCTAAGAGATTTCAGTTAAAAGCATCTTGTCAGTTCAGGTTCTTGCTGCAGATAGTATCAGTAGAATACGAAATCAATATGAACCCAAAGTAAGCCACATTTTCTGGGACTGGATTTTAGTGTCTGGTACTCACGCTGGCCGGTCCTCCAGGATGAGAGCTGTGGTGGAAAGTGGCTCAAACTCCAGGTTCTTCCTCCTCCCTGCGCCCGGGGGGAGCTGAGGACACGAGGACACACCTGAGTCCTTCTCCTCCTCCTCTTCCTCCTCCTCCTCCTCCTCATGTGGACACTAAACAAAGAAAAAAGCTATTACAGAGAGCGGAAATCCAGCCCGTCTGTTTCGTAAGCTTCTCTGGCTTTACAGAGAGACCAGACTAAATTAACTTACCAACAGGTCCATTATTTGTGCCACATGATCTTCCCCAGCAGAAAGAGTTTACCCAGTTGTCATGGCATTGTAGATGTTCAAATTTCCATATTTTGTGAGCGTAAAAAAAGAACTTATTCCATAACAGCTACCACATGGACCTTGTTGTGATGTTTCCAAAGTCAAGAAAGTTGCAATCTTGACTTTTAAGGCAACATGGACAAGAACTCTTTACAGCGCTCAGAATTTTTTTTTTTTTAAACACATACAGGTTTGTGACTGTTGGGCAAAGTCTAATTGCTGAGGAACATGCTACTTAAAGGTCAAGGAGGAACCTGTTGAAGTTTTATGTTTTGATCCATAGCTATTTAAAATAATTTAAATTCTTCAGAATAATCAATTCTCTAGAATACCCTATATTGTACACTATATCTAACTGCAACTGTCATCTGTGTTCAAACATTTTCCTATAAAATGTATTTCCAACATATCTTTGTCACAAAATGTTTATGTGTGATGTAAATACTAACAATAGAGAAGTTATATCAGACCACAATCTACAAACAGCTATACAACAGGCCTACACACACACACACACACACACACACAGAGATAAACAGAGCAATTGTTCATCAGCTTCGGCACAGAGAGATGTTGGTGTGTTGGAGGAAAGGCTCTGCTGAAAGAATCACTGAGTCTGAATAAATCTCCTTCTGTGGGAGACTGTGTGTATGTGTGTGTACGTACGTGTGTGTATGTGCACTCAAACGAACCGACAAAGCTACCAAGCACATTTGTGGTGTGATTTGTTTCCGAGTGGATGAGTGCATGTTCATGTGGCGTATCTCGGCTGCTGAATAAATGTCAATGATTGTGTCCATCCGTGTGTGTGTGTGTGTGTGTGTGTGTGTGTGTGTGTGTGTGTGTGTGTGTGTGTGTGTGTGTGTGTGTGTGTGTGTGTGGGTGTGTGGTGTGTCTGCGTGTGAAGAGCCTGCACAATCAATAGTTCATTCATAGGAGCAGGGCAGCTGTGGGTCAACAAGACAACAAGCCTTTTATAAACTGATTTCTGAGCATCACCAGCAGAGGGAGACGGAGTTCCCCCTCTGACTCTGAAGAGTTGGTGCTCTGTCACCAGTTTGTCTATGAAGTGAAAGTCATATGTATAAAATCATGTGACTGATCCAGTGATTTCCAAGTAAGCTATGCCATGAAAGCTGCTCTGTATCATTTACAGAGCACGAGGGGAAATATTGTGATTGTGCTGATGGCACATTGTGGAAGGCAAATGGAAACATTACTACTTCTATAAGATCAAGTATAATATAAAGTATATAACATACTTATAATATTTCTAGTTTAACCCTGACTATGCTGTTTCTAAGCCCTTTTTAGTTTTCAGCCCCTCCCCCTCAAACAGCCTGAGTCAGAGCATCAGCGAGGTCCGACTCTCATGAGGCCTTCAGGTTCATACCAAAGGTGTTGGATGGGGTTGAGGTCAAATTAACACCAAAAGTGGGTACAGGTGGATGGTAAATAATCTGGAATCACAGCCAGGTTTACATCGCAGTGTTTTTTATGTGTACTGGCTGGGACTAATGTGGTCCTCACTGTCCACCGTACGTATCGTGACATGAGCAAATTAAATCAAAGAAGATAACTACCATTTGGCCCTTTCTACACAATGTCCGCTTATATTTTTGCCCTAAGAAACATCTGTGTTACATATAATTAGAGATGTGGCGACACGTTCCCGGTGTTAAACCACCATAACGAAAACATGAAGAGAAAAGTCACAGAGGACTGCGTTTTTGCAAGATGAGGACCAAGATCCTGGCTAAACTATGATGCTCAAAAAAAAAAGAAAGCCTCTAAACTTTAGGAAATTATTTTAGTCAAATGATGCATTAAATGTTTCATTAATTTTCTCCATTCAACTGCAGATGAGCCAAAGAGAAAGTTCACTAAGGACCCTGTGGCCAGTCAAGTTCTTCCACACCAAACTAGGAAAACCATTTCTCTATGGAGCTGGCTTTGTGCACGGGGGTATCGACTCGTTGAAACAGGAAACACGGTTGTCTAAAATATCATTGCATGCTGTTGCGTTCATTTTTCCCTTTATAGGAACTATGAGGCGTAGACCAAACTATGAATGTTAGTATCTGAGTGGATCAAGCAGGATCTTTATCAGCTCTGATCGTGTGGTACATATTTGTCACCATAAGAGAAAAATCTGTTCGTTAATTGCAGAGCTGCGGCCAGTGAGTGTGTTCTCTCTATTTTTAAATTCTGTTAGGGTCGACGGCGAGTTTAGAATGTAACCTATTATCTTTTCTTTTTTTAACTAATTTATGCACATTGGGTTTGGATAGGTTTTCCACAGATGTTACAACCCCTACCTCAGGCCAAATATAGACAAAGACAAAAGTATGTTGACAGGGGCGTCCACTGACTTTTGGCTATAGAGTAGATCACATCTAGGACAGGATCTGGAGTAGACAAAAGATGAAAAATGTGTGCAAACTACAGAAATGATACTCCTCAAATGATGGAGGCTGATGAGAATGACTACACATGAACAGCAGGATTATTATTTTGGCAACTAATCCCTGGTTGTCCCTCTGAGCTAACTGCGTTGCTGCACAACCTGAATTCAAAGGAAACATTTTGAATGAAGTCCTCCCCCTCCTCCTCCTTCTCCTCCTCCTCCTCCTTCTCCTCCTCCTCCTCCTCCTTCTCAATTTTGTGTCTGACGTGTCAACCAACTGAAGCCAAACCACATCTGGCCGGCTCCTTTCCTGATGAATCATCTGACTCTGGCTGCCGTCATGTGAGCAAAGCGGGCGCAAAGGCCAATGGCTGTCTGATGGCCTTCATAGTACACAACAAGGTCAGAGGTCTACCCTGGAGCTGGAACAAGGATAGTCTGGATTTGGGTTCTTGCTCAAGGGTACTTCAACAGATGGGATTGTGTCCTCCAGCTGATGGATGATTAAACTGACGATTGTTCGGTGTGTGAGACAGCTGCTTTTCAGCGTTTGTCTCATGTGAAAACCAGACCTCATCTAATTAAATTCACCCAGAGAGTAGGAAGCTGCTGCTGTGTGTGTGTGTGTGTTTGTCCAGGATACCACCTGCTCTAAAGGACAGGAGAGGAACAGCTGTGTGTGTGTGTGTGTGTGTGTGTGTGTGTGTGTGTGTGTGTGTGTGTGTGTGTGTGTGTGTGTGGTGTGTGTGTGTGTGTATCATTGCTGGCAAGGCCTTCTACAACGCAGCAAGTGGGGGATAGAGGGGTGAATTGCATCTGTGTGTGTGTGTGTGTGTGTGTGTGTGTGTGTGTGTGTGTGTGTGTGTGTGTGTGTGTTTTTGGAGTGGGATGGGAGGGCGAGGGGGTAATAATCTGCATCTCAGCTGCAGGCAGTGTGTGGAAGTTGCCTAGCGACCACATACACACACACACACACACACACACACACACACACACACACGCACAGGCAGTAAATCCATTTTACAGTCTTATTTCAGCCACCATGTTGTAAACAGACGCAGGCTAACAGTATTGGCCTCTGGAGCATCGGGCTAGCAAACACATCATCACGCTGCACTTCACTGTGTTTGTAGGGTTCAACTTCTTTAGTCGGATAAACAGTGAGGACGTCACACTGGAACATGATGAAGCATCTGGACTTAATATTCAACTGTATATAAAAAGATTTACTCAAACGCAAATGCTCCGTGTGTTCTTTGATATGATTTACTCTTGGGCTGCAATAAACGATCTTTGGATTTATTGGCTGATCTCTTAATTATTTCTTAAAAATTAAAGATCCAAGCTCTAAATGTTGATGTCTTGAACTCCAAAACACAAAGATATTCAGTCATAAAACTAGAAAAAAGATTAACATGTACATTTACATACAGAGCTGCATGCTCAACCATTCATATATGATCGCTGAAAAAAGTGGATTCAAGTGGACCTTTGAAGGTATAGTAAACTGCATCCAAACCGGAATTAAGTGCTACTAAAGTCCGCCTCTTGCTTTATTTGATTGCCAATTGTAACATTGATAAGCGGTGCAACTCTGTGCCTTGTACTTTAAAGTTGGACATATTGTAACTACTAAAATGCACCTTGTGAGTTGTGTGTAACTTCTATCCTTTTACGTCCACAGTCTTGTTCCTTTGACTTATTTTCAAAGAACCAGATAAAGTCCAACCAACATCAGAAATGACTCCTCCAACTTCACTACTCCATTCAGACTTTCACCAACTAACACCCTGAAAACGTTCCCAGGATGATGGTTATTATGTCAGTGTGTGTGTTTAAAGAGCCAACCTGTTGCGTGGACAATGTGGAGGCAGGGTCTTTAGTTGGATCGCCCTCTCTGGCTGCTGTCTTGCCAAACAGTCGCCACCCCGTTGCATTATGGGACAGCGCCTTGGGCTCTTTGGATTTCCTAGAAAACAGGCTCCTGAAAGAGAGACAGAAAGAATGGGTTTAATCATTATTACTGCTCAACGGTTCATACCAAACTTTAGCAATACTAAATTCTCTAATTTAAAGAGAGCTGGAAGCAATGAAGTGGGTGTATCTGCACAGTATTTTATTGTATCCCATAAATATAACATATCTTTTCTCATATTTCCTTTAAAGCCTCACTGGACAAAATGTTTACCCAAAAACCTGAATGTCTAATCAGCCTTAAATCACAACGCGTGTGTGTGTGCTGCAGAATGTTGCACATTCTCCCCATTTGTTCAAATTTAAAGCCGATGTGGGTGATATGATCGCTGCAGGAAACCGTCTCCACACAGGAGCACAGAGCCACAAATCCAAACATAAAAGAAAAATCCAAATGTGTCTCTTTAACAGCATCGAGCGCAAAACTTTCAGATTAAACCAGATTAAATGGTTGTGATCTGCAATTTCACTGCTAGAAGCCCATAAATCCTACACACAGGTCCTGTAGGTTAAAGCTGTCAGTACATAATTTATACATTAAAAATTACATAAAAATGTACTGAATCACTGTAAACATTCACCAGTGTTCCTTTCTTCTTTTAAATCAACCTAATGTTTATGCTGATGCATTGAAAGCCTGTTGGTTTTTTATGGGTCACATAGTCTGCTATTGTCTTCCTTGAAAGGAACTGACACTCGTTTTTAGGGAGGCTCCCTGAAGGCATGTAATTTAGTAATGGTGATAGGGTAAATGGACACTGCCCATTTTTTCCTCTGTGCTCCAATAAAAGCCTCGGTCAGAAACAACTTTTCTCTTTCCTGTACTTAGATATGCTATGTGCTAGGCTAGTCTACATTGAAAAGACACAAACCATGAAAAAAAAATAAAAGCAATGCTATTTCCATGAAAACTGAGCAAATTCTATCCACTGAAAGGAACTGTGGGATGTGGTTGAAAGCCTCAGAAAAAGTTAGTAGGTGAACCTTTAGTTACATCTATATTTTCTTATAACTAATTTCGAATTACAAAAAAAAATGTCCTATGCAATTATTAGGAACATATTATGGATGTAAAATAAAGCATTACTGGCCTGTTTTACCGAATCAAGACCTTTAGAATAAGACCGATAATATTTGTTACTCTAGTTATTAACTTTTGTAAATGCTCTTTTTTGCTCAGTCAGACATCCTTTCAATTTCCATCTGGCATTCATTTTCAGAAATGGTGAACATTATAATCAGAGTATTTCATTATTACTCCACCAGCCTCTAAAACATAAAACTGTTGACGTCAGACTCCAAAGCTCCAGAAAAACTATTCAGTTCCTCAACAAATGAAGGAAGAAGTGCCGTTATAAATAGTGAAGACGTAATACGGTGAGAATTAATCCTCATCATCATTCTGACCACAGTCGTGCAGTTGCAGCAGTTTCTGAAGGGATGCTGGAGAAAAAAAGCTGCCAGATCAACAGTTTTATTTGTTTCAGTGGAAGACTCTGCTGGTCGGTTGGTGGGAAGAGAAAGAGGGAAGGAGGGAGAGGAACTGGAGAAATTTAGAAAAAGTGGAGCTGCGAAGGAGAATAAGAGCGAGAGAGCAAACACACACACACACACACACACACACACACACACACACACACACACACACACACACACACACACACACACACACACACACACACACACACACACACACACACACACACACACACACACACACACACACACACACACACACACACACTCTGGTAGACAGCCAGGCAAATATTATTCCTCTCCACTCTGCGGGCTCAAGTTTCTTCACTCTGAAGTGTTTGTGTGTGAGAATCCAGTGTCAGAAACAAACGCTTCCTTTCAAAGACCAACAAATGGACGTCTTGGTATCACTAAGTGTTTAGGAAAGTATTTTCATTTGAATGTGAATGTGCTATGTCTGTCACTTTACAACCTACTGTTTGTAGTAATTTAATCTATTAGAACATATTGCACGTTTTAATTTTAAGCTCGATTCATTCAAGATTCAAAATCTATAGCACGGTTCAACATTTATGGTTTTTTTCCATGTCTGGCAAGTAGGTGAGAAATCTACTTGCCCAAAGTTCCTTTTTACTGTTGGCTCCTGTTACAGAACTCCAGCACCGTTTGTTGGAAACTTGACGTGCCTTTTATCTGCCTTGCTCACAAACTTGTGGCAATATAATAATATAAGATAATACACAGTTGGAGTTTCACAGACACATCTTCTAACGCTACCCAACAGAAGTGAGAGGAAAGCAAGACAGTTCACTCCTTAGCTACTTCCATCAAAAAAATGCTTAATTCTCTTTTATCAGGAAAGTGAGCTGCTAGATGCAGAAGCAGGCAATCCTTACTGTTGAGCCCTGTATAGATTTAAGTACTGTACATCACAGAACACTAGGAATGTAAAGATACATTAGTTCAATTGTAATACAAATATGTGAAGATTAAAATCGGTATGATAAAAAAAAATCATGATATCAGTTGTGGTATCAAGGTGCAAAGAGTTCAGTGTCACTTCCCAAAAGGAAATATGCATTGTTTTGCACAATTTATACCCTACCTCAGAAATAAAAAAGCATTCTATAATTTGATGAAGAAAATATAAGAGAAAATACATTTTGTAGATTTTATCGTAGATAATTTGTATTGAATCTCATTTTGTTAAAACAAATTGTACCATAAACCCAGTATCACGATTCAAAATGGTGAGTTGAGTGCATTGTTACAGCCCTACAGGAAACTGAACATAAAGGGATGCAGCTGTGAAAAATGTCAGCTACATCTTCTTTTTCACTTGTAGTTGTTGTGCAACAAGTTAAAAAAAAACATACTAGAAACAGAAAAGAGGAAGTTACTTTCTACATGTCCTGCCCATTTGGTCTGGCTCTGCCACCTGGTAGGAGCTGCTGTTTAAATCAAATTAGTCCTACTCTACGTCACATTAGACTTTTTGGTGCAGTAGTGGGTAGCCTGAAGGTCACAGACAGAAAGTAGAAAAATTCAGAGGATACTGAATGGACACTGAACCTACTATAGTATCAGACAAATGTGGGTCATGTATTTGAGCTGAAATGCTCAAATACACTAAATAAATGTACCTGCCATTCGGAAAGTAGAACAAGGGCTGCTACCAGTGCTGCTTGTCACTATTCATACAGCATGAGAAAAATAAAACACAATGTTTTCCTTTGTATGTCGGCTACATCAAGCCTGTTCCTTAGATGAGAAGCAGCCTTGTTCTCCCGGCGGTGTCAGACACCTGAACAGCACACCTGTAGCTGCAAATCTAAAAGGCATTACATTGTGATGGAGAGAGAAGCCATAAATGCAAAGTAACAAATACAGTGTGAGCGTGTGTGTGTGTTCGGGGTTAGGGGTGTGTGTGATAGGATCTAACCTAATTCCCAAAGTGGAATGAACAGGATGTGTGTGTGTTAATAATTAATAACGGAGGTGATTAGAGCTAATTTAAGTGTGTGTATGTTAATGAACAAAAGGAAATGCTGAACGAGCAGCTGTTTTGGTTTTGGTCATAACATTTGGAAAGAGATGCTGCTGATGGGTTTTATAAGTGCATTTATAGACCATCAAGTGACAGCTGATAGCTTAAAACGGCAGCAAATTGCCATTTCGTGATGGTTAAGTCTCTCGACAGGAGTTCAAGTTTTTTTTATTTTTGGCCTATCTGCTCTGATATTCTTTATCCGTTTGCCATTATATTATAAAAAAGTCAAGTTTTCTTTTAAAACAAACCTTGTACTAAAGCCAAAATTCAGATTTAGTGACAAACTGCTATGCTAGGCAATGTGATGTTATTGTTTCATGCAAAAGTATTCAATTTTAATTCATTGTTTTTTAGAGCAATTTAACTACTTAAACTACCCCTACAGATAACACCAGACACCAGTAAGAATCTCAGTACAGATACAGCTGAAACTGTTCTGGAAGTATAATGGAAGTTGATTAGGATGGGATTATTATTATTATTATTATTATTATTATTATTATTATTATTGTTATTATTATTATTTCTATGATTCTAAGGCTAGATAAACTGAACCTTATGCTATAGGCTAATAGTTGTATTTTCTATAAAGTACCATTCCTGATTGTATTCATTTTGAGTGGATTTTATCTTCTCTGCTCTCAGCACTGTGAACCAAACAGCCAGCGTGGAGGTTTCCCAGCAGGGCTGTTTTCTCCTCAGCGTTCCTCTCCATCTGTCTGGATTTCCTCTGAGACGCTGTGACATTCAAGCCAGCTGCTGCGGCCCGCGTCCAAACCAAAACCAAGCCCGACACAGACTGAGATTTAGCAAACAGAAGTTTTCCTACACCTGCCAGACAGGATTTTACTGCATGGTAATCAAATTGAAAAAAGAACCCCTCTGGGTCTGAACTGCACTGGTGTCTGCTGGAATTTGCAGGACAGAAAGTGCTCAACCTTTACTCCTCTTTCACTTCCTGGTAGTCTTTTACAGGAATGCTGGCAGGGTGCAGTGCAACTCACTTTACTATTTAGCACTGCTGCTGATCAAATATTTAAATTGCTTGCTAATTAAATTGCTTTGAACTCAGTCTAAGTCACACTGGATGAAGACATCATCGCCATTTAGTGCAGTTAGTAACTGAACATGAAAAACTGAACCCTCCCCTAGTAAACAATACAAAACACAATACAAGCTATCATAGATAATCATTACCAAGGACAAATCTGATGCTGATCGCTGAAGCTCATCCCCACTGGTTGCCATTTACCTGGCTCTGGTACAGGAAGATGATGTCCTCCTCCTTAATTTCAACAACCAACAGCCGTCAAGAAGAAACAATTTGACACTATTTGAAAACTAATCACTTAAGAAATCAAAGATTTAAGCATAAATTCAGTAATTAAGTCTGGAAGCAGTATAGTACTGAATAAATATACAACTGAAATAAGTACTGGATCTGACCCTGTGTCATCCACAAACACAAAAACAGTTTAACACTG